TCGTGTTCCGTGATTCCTATTGCGTAGTTCGTGTCCTCAATTCTGTGCGTAACTTCACTATTACTACCTCTACAATCATTACACATCCCCAACAAAAGGGGGCACGGCATGAATTTAGGCAAGCCTGAGAGCCACTTTTTTTGCACCGGGTAACTATTACATGGAACAAAATGCCTCAGGAGGTAGTGGCGTCAAAAACCATTGCTGAGTTCAAACTGAAGCTTGATGCATCCTGGACATCAACGTTTCCCTATCGTATCTGACACCGGGCCTAAGGTGGCTAACGGCTCGTCCGTCTCTCTCTTTGTATTAGGCTCTTCTATGCTAAGATACTTCACTTTGACTTCTCCAACTCCCACAAATCCATTTTTAATTACTGTTCACCACACATTTTACTGAAGTTTCTCAACATCCAGCATCACCGCTTTTAGGTCGTTTCTTCTCCACAACACATCTCTTACTCTGAGTAGCTCGAAGCGGTGAGTTGCGAGCTATTACTTTGATCCTCAGACGTATACTGCCACTACGGGGAACCATCAGAAGTGCGTTTTCCTTTTCCAGAACCGCACTCACTCACGTTTACGTAAACGAACTAACACAAATGTCGCAGTGCCGTGGTGCTGAAGCTAACCGGAGTTGACGGTCTTCCGGCATGTCTTCTTACGAGTCTCAATATGCCCGCGACCTCCTAGTGTCTCGTTGCCCGAAGTAGACAAAAGCACTCGTGGGAGTCGTAGACGTTTATTGGCGAATCGTGGTACTAGGTAGTACCGAAATGTGCAAAGGTGACGCTAAGCAAAGCAAGCAACAAATGCAGTAGCAGAGCGATAGCGTGTCACACGTTTGAGAACAGGACCCAGCTTATATATACGCCTGAGCGGAAAACCGTGCTCGGTAAAACAAACACAGGACCCAGCTTATATATACGCCTGAGCGGATAACCGTGCTCGGTAAAACAAACAGAAGTAAAACAAAGAAAATATCACAGTTCGAGTCAGATGGTAAAACAAACAGAAGTAAAACAAAGAAAATATCACAGTTCGAGTCAGAGTTGATTGTGGAGAAAATATGAACGGAAAACGTCCTCGTGGATTGCCCCTTTTCTTCGTACAATCATGGTCACTACAGAAGTAAAACAAAGAAAATATCACAGTTCGAGTCAGAGTTGATTGTGAAGAAAATATGAAACGGAACTGTTCTCGTGGATTGCTCTTTTTCTTTGTACAATCATGGTCACTACAGTGCTCCTAACCTTTAAAAGGCAAAAAATTGCTGGACTGCTTTTGGTTCCGTGGCAAGTCCTGTGTCCCGTCCTGTCCTGTCCTTTCCAGCGGGCACAGCCTGTCAATCAAAAACTGACAATAACCAAGAACAGAGACTACTGGACCTAGTCTCAAACCCGTGAGGTACTGCAGGACTTCAAGGCCTTTAATGTGTGACCAGCAAGGCGGCCATTTTCTCCGTGCTTGTAGGTGAAAATCGAAAACACATTCGAGGGATTACCTGGCAGTTGAAGTTAAATGGGAGCCATCAGCTCCCAAGTGCAAGGAATTGGATGTATCCTGGTGGAAGCTGACAATCGAATGAACTGACTTGAACTGTAATAGATCCGAGACAGAGTGCCTAAATGTCACATAATTATCGGTAGGAAACACGAGATAGATGATAAACCAAACAGTAATGGAATAATAGCCCTGAAATAATAGTGATTAGAATATGAATTATCAACAAGATTCTCTGGCATACCATAAAAAGAGAGATATCTAACGTCAAAGCATGATGCATATGATTTATTGTAAAAAGGAAACGAAGACGAAATGGAGACGGATTTCATATTCGACATGATAAATAAAAAGTTTTTGAAACCCTACCATGAATATAACAAAGTGAATGCTTTAATATTACGAGCATCTATTAAGTGTGGTACTTTTGTTTAAACGCGCTAGTGGCCATCAGTATATCCTGTTCCCGGGTGTGCTTACTTTCCAGCACAATGGCGACTCAACCTAAGGTTCCCCGTTCCAGCAACGATTCAGCGGCAGATGGCGAATCGGGTGAGTGAAATCCTGTCTCATTTTTTATTGTTTTCATTATGTTTTGTGTCCGTATCTGCAATTTCACGACCTGTACACAACTTTTTCTAACGTAGCCAACGCTAACGCAACAATAGATGCGATTGAGGAAGTGCAGAATGCGATAGACAACTTGAACGAACAAGCAAGCGAAGAAATCCTGAAAGTTGAGCAGAAGTACAACAAACTCCGACAGCCGCACTTCGAGAAGAGATCGGAGTTGATCGCCAAAATCCCCAATTTCTGGCTCACGGCGTTCGTCAATCATCCCCAGCTTTCCGACCTGTTGACAACAAGTGACGAGAACGTCCTTAAGCATCTCAGGAAAGTAGAAGTTCAGGAGTTCGAAGACATCAAGTCCGGTTTCAGAATCAACTTCGTAAGTTGCCTTTCTTTCTACTAATTTATCTGTTCAGCATTTCGACAAGAATGAATGGTTCAAAAACGCCGTGCTCACCAAGGAATTCCATTTGGGAGATAGTGGTGAACCCTCATCCACATTCACTCCTATTGAATGGTTTCCAGGCAAGGATTTGACTGCCAAAGCCAACAGCGGGAAGAAGAACAACGGTGAACAGATGAAGAAACGCCCCTTCGAAGACCAGTCTCAAGATAGCTTCTTCTGCTGGTTCACAGACGAATCCTCTGCATTTGGGGATGAGCTCGGTGAAGTAATCAAGGATGACTTGTGGCCAAATCCTCTCCAGTATTACCTGTCACCAGACATGGACGAAGAAAACGGTAAGTTGCATAGGATGTGCTTGTACACTCTTGGGCAAGGGTCGACGGGGGCACCAGTCTAATTCTCGTTCAACTATCCGATTCCTTTTAAGAAAATGACGAAGACGAGGACGAGGAGGACGACGAGCAGGATCTTGACGAGGAGGAAGGCTGCGGTGGTGATGTTTAGTCGAAGCAATATAATGATAACCGTGCATCTCCCGTGTTTCTCTCGAACACATGGGCTTGTCCGAAACATTATTCAAAATTGCGTACGAAGGCGAACTTGATTATGTGTCCGACGGCAATTTCCTGTGTATCTGTTTCTTGGGTGACTTGTATATCACGCCCGGTTTTAATGTTCTACATCTGAAGCGTTTTTGCGCCCCATTTTGCATTTACTTGTAGCCACAATTGCGCAAAGGCATTCATACTATTGTAGACCCAAGTTGGATATTGTATTGAGTGAGATACCCTGCCGTCTCATAGTCTATTTCGTCCAATACGCGTTCAAAGATTTTTGTACGAAAATTGTCAGTTCTTCGACGCAGACTTATTGGGTTTTTTGTGGGACCGGGTTTGGGCAATGGGGATGAGAATGCGGTTGTATGATGATTGCGTTGCAAGTTTTGTTTCGCTTTGTGGTTGTACTGGGCCATCGCACGTCCGAGACTGACATCTCGCTTGGTCATTGTTTATTGTATTCATGCCATTCAGCGGGTATATGGCTCGAGATGTGAGTTTGAGATGGATCGTCGAGTTTTCTACCTCATCGATGTGTGCGAGTGGTTAGTCCAAAGTGTGAGACGTGCTCCATTTTGAGAACGAAGTCGAACTGTCGGCGTGGGCGTGGCTAATGAAGACTACGATTGTGATGAATTTGTATACCTGGATAGCGTTCCCATTAATGGAGACATCCAAACCCCTGACGTTCGTATTTGGATTTATGCAACGGCTTTTTTCGTCGCGTGGTCGGCTGATATTTATTTCTCTCCTTTGGTGACGGGCGTGGTTGGTTTATTAGGACTTGGCAAGAAATAACAGTTTGAGGTGTGTAGGTCACTTGAGACAACGTGAATCTCTTGATGTAGGGAGTTGCTAGTTTGGTCCGGCCTATTCGTCCGTTTGCACAACCATTAACTGTGCAGTCTCCATCGTATTAGTTTGGTGTGTAGTTCATCTGGGAGCGGTGGAGCTTCTGATGTGCGGTTTTCTGTTCATTGTAACAGTAGGTGGTTCGATTTAGTACGGCGTTCGCGATGTACTTTCCGGGACTGCATTTACGTTGCTGCCCTATTAGTCCTTTTTCAAACTAGCAGCTTCAGTTTATGCAATCCCTCGCACGTCGTTGCTCATTTGCATGAATCGGTCTGAGAACTACCAACGCGGAGTTGAGGCTTTAAAAAATCCATTGGCAAAGCGTGGGGTTGATTGACATTGAGACTATGATCGGGGCTCATCTGAGTACTCTCAACTGGATACTAGGTTCTTGCGTTGTAGCCAGCTGACTGGACTTACTCAAGCAGGACCTGACCTGCGTGGTTGTTTGATTTTGGCGCGAATGAAAATCCGTTATGTACAGGACACCAGCTATTAGTCGATCGTGAAGTGCTTCGCTGTACTGCTCGTGTTGATTTACCCTGTTGCTAATTCGTGCTGTTCTCGTTGTGCCTTGGGAATGGGATCTAAGTAAGGGCTCCATGTGCCGAATGTGAGGTGCGGGCACGGGAGTGTTTGGGTGAGCCGCACCACAGGTTTTGTCCATTCACCATTTGGAATTTGGTTCACGAGCACTGAACTCCCGATGGGTTTTCCCTGTGTACCTCCAGCTTCAAAGGTTCCATATGCTCTTAACTGAAGTTCATCTCGTCGAACCAAAGGTCTTCCAATGACTGGATGGGAATTTTCATCGCAATCGTTTTCACTTAGGTGCACTGGGTGGATAACTTGTCTTCTCCGTTCGGTTTTTCGGTTACCTTTTCCATTATCGCGATGTTAGCAGCTCCGGGTAAATTTGGGACGACAATGCACCTCTATCTTCGTGAACTCATCGCTTAATTCACTGTACGGGTTGCTTTATCGCTAGTTTGTTGGAGCAGTGAGGTCTCTAGGGATTCCATTTGTGGATAGAAGTCGACCGTTCGATTTTAGTTGGGATTCGCAACGTGGTAAGGATACACCCGCGGTAGGATTTTCGCCAACTTGGTGGTCCAGTGTCCTGCTTTTGTCTATCTGACACCCTCGGAGGTTGGCTCATGGATGCCTCGGGAGCACTTGGAAAACGCATCTACGGATTTTGCAGGTTGGATTCTTTTCAGTGCTCTGTACGCTAAACCTACGATATCTTTGTCGGGATAAGAATTTGACCCACTAGTTGAAACTATGGCCTTTGCATTCGTAGCGATTCCTAGTTGGGTAATCGTGTCCGGAAATTTCTATAAATAGTGAATGAGTAGTATCTCTGGGGCTGCACTGATTAAGGAGTGCTCAAAAGGGTACTGGTTTTCCAGGACGCAATATGGGTGCGACGTCAAATATGTTTGCCTCCAGCCTAGCTTGAAATCTAACCCGCTGTGTGCCCAGTGAGAATTGGGTAAGAAATCTGCATGTGAGCAAAGCCATTTGAACGCTTCAGACTATAGAACGAAGTGGCATCTCTAGTAGTAATCTTCCGCCGAGTATTCTGGTCACAGAATAATCGCTGCAAGTCTTTCGGTAGTCGTTCGCGACTGCAGATTCACTTAGTTACTTCCTCACCTTCAGATTTGCAGTTCTGTACGGGATGTGGGCTAACGTCCGGAATCATGGAGCTTCGAAGGTATTACAGTTCCAGTCGTCTGGATGGTAACCGGAGTGCGTTCAGCGCTAATTGTCCAAACCAGCCGGCAGGGTGTCATAAGGTTGGTTTATATACATATGAACCAGGAGCACTGGTTATCGGATTAAATGTCGTAGGTAGTGAATGTGCCGGATAACAGGTTCCCGAAATTAGTCAATTTGTTGAGTGCTCCTTTTGATCTGATTAGCCACGCCAACGCACGTTAAACAAGTTGAATACTGCTGGGGGAAATAGCCATCTGGAAAAAGGTACTGCCTGTTTCAAAGAATAGTTGATAACAGTTTGAAACGTCAGCGGTCCAGGAAACCATTGTACTACAACGGAAACCAATTCTACGGTAAAGATCGGAGATGCGGTCACGGTGTTGTGCAGTTTTCATAAGAACTAAAGCTCGGTTGGCCTCGTACGAAACCGGATTTCGATAGGCTCTCATCTTTACGCGAGTTTTTTATTCGAACAAGAAAACCACCGTGGTATCAAGTACACAAGTACGTGGTTGGTCTACACACAGCAACAACGTTGGATTTCCCCCTTACCTTCACAGCTAGTGGTATAGTTCAATACGATTATTGCTCTAACGAATTTTGAAGACCAGTTTGCGATCGGTGAACTTATAAAGTAACGGACGGTGTGCTGAGTTAGTGATCAGGTGTTAACTCGGTTTAGTCTGATAAAAAAGAATTTAAAAAATTCGAACAGTCACTTCGTGCAGAATAATACTGAGCGTATACCGTACTTCGATCGCCAAGCTGTTTCAAACGTGTTTATATATATATCTTCAGGAGGCTAGATGTCATGGGCATATTGTATATCGAGAACCATTCTGGGACATAACGCTATTTGAACGTAAAATTCAGTGGTGTTGAACGACTAAGGTTTGAATGTGTGATAGTAATGGTCGTCAGCGTTCAGTAAAACCAGAACTTGACGTGCTGCACCACTGACGAAGCAGAATCATTACGCAGCAACCTCGATGGTAATTTTGAGTGAGGGATTTGGGATAGCTGTGCCACTCTTGGAGACGGCAAAAGGTGGCGAAAGCTAGTCTAGACTCTAACCCGATTTGGGGTATGACGACGGTTTTAAGGATAGGCACAATTCTCCGGTACTCCATTTATCGACAAACGGATGTACAGTGTGGTCCTATCGATTGAGGCGACAGATGCACGGATTTCAAAGAACCGAATGATGGTTGGTCTCTGATAAGCTTGGCGGTGCTCTGGAAACTACGGTGGAGTGAGGATTTGACAAACTCCCACGACTGACGCAAACCAAGCTTTCTCCTCACGAGTCAGCCCTTCACGCGTATTACGCTATCTGAGGATAACAGCCTAAGACAAAATCTACGCTACTCATTTCGGTTCAGTGCGTTTTATGAACGACTAGTCACGCACTTCCCTGCCACCGTTTAGTTGCTGTCTTTTAGCTGCATATTCGGAACCGGTACCAATGTGAAAATTGGGAATTGGGACACTTGTATGGATGGCGAAGTTACTGATCCCTTCCTCAAGACGAGCACCACAGTACATAACCCTTAAGGAGGAAACCTGTTCAGCGTTTCAAACATTGATGTACACATCGGCCAGCTGCATAAGCTTCAGTCCGTCCTTAAATGGAGCTGGAAGGTGATCGTAGCCTGGCGCTTGAGACGTCCCAGATCTTTGATCTGTGTAAAGTCCGTCCTCAGAAGGCGGATCCGTCGAGATCGACTATGTGATGCCAGCCGTAATAGCCATGCGAGTGTTTGACGCTGGTTGCTAAACGTTGTCTCCAAGTGTTCCACCCAACGTGCAGGGTGTCACTTGTTTGTGAGTGGGCGATCGTTTAGGGTGTCACGATCAAATCGGTAAGTAGTATAGCAAAATATGATGATTTATAGTTTCCGGTGTAAAGTTCTACAATCCTTTATTAGGATATTGAAACACAATAGAACAGTACGGTAAAATGGAGAAGGACGCACTAACCTGTAGGTAGAAAACCTTATTTACACCAGCTCGGTGTTACATCAACCAGAGTGCCCGAATTTCTTCTCACGTATCAACTTTCACAATTTTCTGTGACTGTTTGGATCAGTTATCTGGGGAGTGGGGTTATATAGCTGCTTCTCATAGCAACAGGTTCCAGTTGCGCATGGATCGCTCAAACTCGTATTATTGCTCGTCTTTTTGTTGTCATAATCTACGGTAGCGTAGACCACTTTCACGCTAACCGGAGTTCATTCAACACCAGTGGACTTGGTGTCGTACTTTGCATTGTTTATCATCACTGTAGTGCGATTGTTTACTGTTTATCTGATTAGTTGTGTGACAAACTAGTGCAATAAAATAGGTGACCATGTGTCTACATACAAC